TTTAACTATCACGTCATGCTTAATTGACGGAGGGACCAAAATTATGCAATTTTTAGAGTTAAAAGATAAAAAGATGAAAAAAATAATTTAAGGATAAAAAAAATGCAAATATATAAAATTAAGAAATCAAATTTAGCATTTAACCTTTTTTTTTTCTTTTCCGTGCAGGGGAAGGTGACATTGAGGGTGTCATTAAGTCCATGTAAGACCAACGAGGGATTGGATCAAGTGGTAAGTGGCTTGTTCCAGCTTAAGCAAGATTTCGAGTTCGAGACCTTGTGAATGCAGCAGCCCTCGCTGGGAGACTCACCCACCATTTCTAGGTGCGCGACGCTGGTCGGGTCCGGATTAGTCGAGGCGAAACCTCGGATACCGGGCGGGAAACCAAAAAAAAAAAAAAATTAAGTCCATGTAAGCATCTTTGACATGTTAGCATATCCACATCAGCTGTTCTAGTTAAGTTAACATGCCACATGAGCAAAAATTAATGAAAGAACTAAAAAGGGACCGTATTTTAAAATTTAGGAATAAAAAAGGGGATTTTTTCGGTACAAGAACCAAAAAAGAGTTTTTTCCTATAGTAGAGGGACCAATAAGGGTATTTAACCAAAAAGCAATGTTGGCCTTCTAAATTTTCAAAGTCTAGAATTGACGAAGGGAAAAATGGGAACCTAGGATTATGACATGTATGTAATGATAATATAGATGTGCAAGGACTCGGAAGATATGAAACAGGGGGCAATAAGCTGTCTTTCATGGAGAGCAAAGAGGTGAAGCTTTTAGGATTCTGGGTTAGCCCCTTTTCGCGCAGAGTTGAGTGGGCTCTGAAGGTGAAGGGCGTTGGGTATGAGTACATAGAAGAAGACATCTTCAACAAGAGCAACCTGCTCTTGGAACTCAACCCTGTTCATAAGAAGGTGCCGGTTCTTGTTCATGATGGGAAGGTAATAGCAGAGTCATTTATTTTACTTGAATATGTTGATGAAACATGGAAGCATCATCCTTTGCTGCCTCAAGATCCTCACCAAAGAGCTTTGGCCCGATTTTGGGCTAAATTTTGTGAAGAGAAGGTACACATTGTTTTTGACTCTAAAATGTTACAATAAACAGTACTTGTACAAAAACCACTGCTCGGCTAAACAAACTCATAGATTATATGTGTGTATCCTGTTGTTTAATTATAGGTTTTTGAAACTGCATGGAATGCTTTGTGCTCCAAAGGAGAGGAAAAACAAAAGGCTCTAGAACAATGTAAAGAAGCCATGGAAAAGATGGAAGAGGAAGTATTCAAAGGGAAGCAGATCCTTGGAAGTGATGGGAGGAGCAACCTTGGCTATCTAGACATTGCAGTGGGATGGATCTCTCACTGGCTGCCTGTTTTTGAGGAAGTTGGTTCAATGCAAATTCTAGACCCACTGCAATTTCCAGCTACCGCCGCATGGATCGACAGGTTTCTCAACCATCCATTGATCAAAGACAACCTGCCGCCGAGGGAGAAGATGCTGGTTTATTTTCACCAGAGAAGCCAAGAATTGAGTTCCACAGCTCAAGGTTGGATCAAGGTATAACTAATGGGGATTTGAACCTATATCCTCTCCAGCATGTATTTCAAGCATTGAATCAAGGCCTTCTTGCCATTGAAATAGCAATAAGAATAACCTTTCACTTTCCCAAATCCCTCATCACTGTTTTTAAGGTTTGAAACTTACATTTGCATGTTGGGAGTCTCAACCAATTTTAATGGTTTATTAATTTCCATTTCCAACCTTATTAAAATTAGAAAAATATACAAAACTAACTATTAAATTCGGACAGTACCTTTTTCATATAATGAAATACTGTAAACTCCTAAAATTATGCAATCCACCAATAAATAAATAAATAAATTTGAAGCTGGAGCCTTGCCAATTTTATATGTGTATGCTATTTAGTGTTGTAGAGATTAAAAACTCTTAATTTTAATTTTTAGATTTTTTTAATAAAAATTATAGATTTTTTTTTTTACTTTTAATCTTGAATTATTTAATATGAGGTAATTATTTTTACCTTTTAATTTATTTTATTTATATATCATATAATTTAAATTTAAAATCTCTTACTTTTACTTTAAAACTATTAAATTCTTAAGTTAATTAAGTTGTTAGCAAAAGAAAAAAAAAAAGATTTTATTAATAACTAAACAATTACATCATCTTCATTTATAACATATGACTTAAGACGCAACTAACTATTACATTAGCTCACAAAGATGTACCATATTCAAATGAATCAATTAACTACAGAAACTCCTACACTTTGTTAAATAAACTAAAAAGAAAATTACTCTATTTAAATATCCATAAATTTTGAATAGCTGTATTTATAACACAAAAAAACTAAAAAGAGCAATTAAACCCACAAGTGATCATCTCCACCCACCACTTGTCCTCTAATTTCCTGTTTCACTCTAATTATTTATTGGATAAACAAAAGAGCCACTGACGAAGACACCCCATCAAAATACAAAGGAAACCAAATACTAAAGATGTCACATGCTTTACAGAAATCATCTGAGACGTGATGCCTTTTTAGTGGTTGCCATTTCTGCCGACCCATTTTAGGTTCTGCCCAGGGACGGAGGTACCATAGGACAAGGGGGGGCAGCCGCCCCCCTAAGCTTTTGAAAAATGTTTAATTTAGTACATCAATTTTTAATTAGTACAAAATTTGTTTTTGATGTTGAATTACAAGGACTTTTTGAATTTAAAGAAAATATTTAGGAATTAGGTAAAGGGACCATTCCTCTTTATAATCAATTCTTAAGACCAATACTTTTATTTGGGTATGAAAAAAGATTGTATGAAAAAAGATTTTATATTAGTTGTAATTTTTTATACAATTTATATTCTATCAATGTAATAATTGAATTTGATATTCTAATTGAAAATTCATTAATATCTGTAATTATATCAAAAAAGAAATTATTTTTTATATGAGATTAGTATTTATTTATTAGACTTAAAAAAAGTGAAAAATACTTTAAAATTAAGATGTTCTAATAAAGTATTACCAAAAAAATAGTAATATATGCTTCATTCTTACCCTAAAAATATGATAATTTAATCTATTTATTTTAATTAGAGTTTATATAAGAAACATAATTTTGAAAAAAAATTTATAATTTTTTCTAGATCCAACTTATAAACATTTTTTCTATTATTTTATATTATTTGTTTAAGGGTATTAAATTGAATGTTATTTGAAAATAATTAAATATATTTAATTAATCTAAATTTTTGTAGATATGTTATAAGTAGTACATTTAATCATAAAATTAATAATTAATGTAAAAATTGATATAATTTTTTTGTATATAAAAGTTATGGATCAAACTCAGAGTTTACGATTAATAATATATTTGAATTAAAGAAAATAGATAGAAAAAAGGAAAAAATTCTCTTTTACTTTTTTTAAAAAAAATTTAGTTATTCATTCAAATAAAAGGAAAAAAGGAGAGAAAATGAGAGAAAAATTTCCCCTCTCCTCCCCTTCTCTTCCCTTAATCCAAATATAAGTAAAAATATACATAATTATACTAACAAACTAAATAATTAATAATTAAAAATTAATATAAATTATATCAATATAAACTTGTTATAACTCTAAAAAATTTTAAAGTTTTCGCTCCTTCACTTAAAATGTGGTTCCGTCCCTGGTTCTGCCCATCGAAAATCATGAAACAACCAATCGAACCCCATGGTTTCCATCCAATTAAACTCCTTGATTTCCACCTACAAATCCTTGTGTGTCAAAAATCCAATTCTTTACACGTCAAAATCCAAAGCCACCAACCTGCTTCAAAACTAGCGACCATCCAAAAGAGCAGCCACAACCTGAAGTTCCGTTGCCAACTCGCATTAAAAAAATAATTATGATTTTTCTTAATTGATATAATGGATAAAGGGGTAAGAAAGATAAGGAACCGAAGAAACAAAAGAAAAAGAAGAGACTAACAATTTGTTGGTTTGAATGAAAAGAGTTCAATTTCTTTTAAAAAAATTTTTGAATTTTAATCTTATGAATAAAAAAATAAGTGTTAGGAAAGATTTTTCTAATAGAGTCTGACGCGATGCGATTTTAAATTAGTCGAGATCGAATGTAATTATTGAATATTAGATGATTAATAAGAAAAAAAAAAAAGAGAGAAAAAGAAATCCCGAAAGCAGAAATTCACACCACATGAGGAAAAGAGGGAAGGAAACTCTAATCCTAGCTCTGATGATGACAATTAAAAGAAAAAACAAAAAAGGTTGAGATCTTAATTTTAGATTAAGATCTAATATTTATCACTACCAACTCATCTTAGTTCTTATAATTTCAAAAAACAGGTATTGAATCTGGCTAATGATTTTACATTATTTTTAATGAATTTGAAGCAGGAAAAATTTCAAAGATTGAAACAGGGTATTAATTTGCAGAGGAAATAAAACAAACAGTGCACATGACATTTTCAAAGAGCACAGCGCATTCAAAGGCAAATGAAACAGTACAGCAAATAGAAATCTCAGCATCATTCCTCTCAAATGAAGTCATGCATTACGCAATTAACAATTTGGAACAGTGTAGGACAAAGAAAATATGCTGCATTTTGGTCAAAATGCCGCCCCACGCATGATGGTATAGCCTTTCAAAATTTTCGAAGTCTAGAAAAAGCTGTGAACCTAGGATTATGGTATATTTATGTGCTTGAAGTTCAGTAACAAAGGGCAATAAGCTATGGAGAGCAAAGAGGTGAAGCTTTTAGGACTCTGGGTGAGCCCCGTTGTACGCAGAGTTGAATGGGCTCTGAAGGTGAAGGGCGTTGAGTATGAGTACATAGAAGAAGACATCTACAACAAAAGCAATCTTCTCCTTGAACTCAACCCTGTTCATAAGAAGGTGCCAGTTCTTGTTCATGATGGTAAGGCAATCGCAGAGTCACTTGTTATACTTGAATATGTTGATGAAACATGGAAGCAAAATCCTTTGCTGCCTCAAGATCCTTACCAAAGGGCATTGGCTAGATTTTGGGCTAAATTTTGTGACCAGCAGGTACGCATTATTTTGATTTTTGACCATCTCACAAACTTAGTTTGTTAATGAAACAAACTCTAAAACTTACTATTATCAAAACCAAAAAAAAAAAAAAAAGTGCTTTTCAATCTAAACTACACTTTATGGTACTTTTAATGAATTTTTTACTTTTATTAATTTATGGTTTAAGTACCATTTTGGTCCCTTAACTTGTCACTTTGGTACCAAAATTGTCCCTCACCTTTAAAAAGTACCAAAATTATCCTTAAACTTTCATTTTTAGTACCAAAACCGTCCTTCTGTCAGTTAAATGGACAGGTGGCACGTTAACTTGCCAGCAAATCAATTTTTTTTTCTTAACTAATGACATGGCACCTTTTTTATGAGTTGGCATTTTATTTTATTTAATTTAAAAATAATGAACTTTTTTTCCATCCATGTCATCGCTTCTTCCTCTTTCACTTTCTCTCTCTTGTCGCTTCTTCTTCCTCTCCAAATCAAACCCAGGTCTGGGTTTTTCTTAAACTCAGATGACTCCTTCAATGCCACTAAAATGCAACAAAAAAGAAACTAAATCACATCACAGTCTAACAATAAAACCTCCATGTCATCTCTTCTTCCTCTTTCACTTTCTCTCTCTCTTGTCCCTTCCTCTTCCTCTCCAAATCAAACCCAGATCTGGGTTTTTCTCAAACCCAAATGACTCCTCTGACACCATTGAAATGCAACAAAGAGAAACTAAATCACTGTCCAAAAAAAACCTCAAATACATATTCGAATTTCATCAAACCAAGTCAACTCACATGGATGCAAATAAATCAAAAAGAAACAGTATCGAACCACCGGAGACTCGATATGTAGCAAACCAAAACCTAAAATGCCGGCAAAATCAACACAGAAACCAACGAGCACAGGTTTAAAGAGAACCAAAAATTCTAGTTCTAGTTCCACCAAGACAAAGAAAATAGCAAAATCAAGACCAAAAATCAACCACAAGAGTTTGAACAAACATAACAAAAACCACAAGTTCCTGGGCACCCAACTATTCTCTTGTCATAGAAGGATTTGATGATTGCAGGAGCTTCCTTTGCGCCAAAAGGACCAACAAGATTGTTAAAATCTTCAAGAGTTTTTTGCCCCTGAAGTTTAGCTTCAAAGTCCTCACACTCGTGCCCTGTTCAAACCCAGATCTGGGTTTGTTTTAGAGAGGAAGAAAAACCCAGATCTGGCCATCCGAATTTGATAGGAAAAACCCTCGAGTCTAACACCGCAATCCCAACCCCTTCCTTCGCCAACTTCCTCGCGCTTCACACTCTCCTTCATCCCCTGTGTTCCCGTCAACAACTCTATCAAAATAACTCCAAAACAATACACATCAAATTTAGTGCCGCTTTGGTTATTTCCCTCATCATCTCTTCCCTTTCTACGCCCGATGTTTCCAATCTTGACGTCGGCGATGCGTGGGTCGAGATTATCAGATAGAAGGATGTTGGACAACACTGGTGACCGTGGGTGGTGCCGATGTGATGTAGGTAATTTATGTGTGAAACCCAGATTTGATTTTGAGAAAAACCCAGATCTGGGTTTGAGAGAAGATCTGGATTTCGGATGGCCGCAAAAGGCACACCAGGATCGCTTCACTCATGCTCTCCGCTTGCTGAGTGAACCATTCATCGATGCCGAGGAAGAAGCCTGGGAAAGAAGAAGGGGCGAATGGATGAGAGAGACGAAGCGAGGAAGAAGAAGATGAATAATCTAATATTAAATTATGTGGGTTTTTATTTAAATAAGAAAAAATTGCCACATGGAAAAAGAAAAATGCCATCTCATTAAGTTTATTTTCCACGTAATTATTATTTTTTTTTAAATGTGATTTTGTGGCAAGATAACGTGCCACCTGTCATTTAACTGACGGAAGGATGGTTTTGGTACCGAAAATGAAAGTTTAAGGATAATTTTGGTACTTTTTAAAGGTGAGGGACAATTTTGGTACCAAAGTGACAAGTTAAGGGACCAAAATGGTACTTAAACC